TGAGCCCAATTTGAATTTTTTTTTCCCTCTGAGAGCAGGCACAATTATTCTTTAGTTTTTCTGGGCCTTTTCTCTCACTCATCACCTCACGTACCCTCTCAGAGAACGTGATTAGCAAAGGGCTCAGAGTAGGGCCCTCTTCTGTCACATCTTACACAAGCTGAAGTGACCTGTTAAATTGGCACAGCTCCATGGAGCAAAATGTCTGAGCTGCTCAGCTCTGCCTAGTGCAGCTCTGGGCAGTTATTACTGCACTGACTTAAATCACATCCAAAACAGAAACTTCATGTGTTCTTCTCACTCAGAAAGGGCAAAGATTTAAGATGAGGTTTGTTCTCTCAGTGGAGGAACAGCTCCTCTGGAGTAGATAGAATCCTGCTGAGAGTAAATACCATAATCTGGTCGAGTTCCTGTCCCTGCTCCTTCTCAGCCCATTGAATAACCATGAACTAACTCACCCAGCATTCCCAAGATGGAAAAGTATTAGGCCCATCCAGCACACTGGGGAGAACGAATTAAATTACAAAAGCATCTCATGTGGCCTCCAGCAAACTTCACCTCTTTTCCACGACTCAGATTTCCATAAAGTTCTAATGATGCCACAGGACACATCTCCAATGTATCAATCTGTCCCCACAGCAAACAGTCCTTTCAGTCAACCCACTTCAAATTTCTGCCTTTGGGAGGTCCCCCTGCAGAGCTGCCTCCAGCTCAGGGGCTCCAGCATAGGAAGGATGTGGAGCTGCTGGAACAATTCCAGAGGAGGCCACAGAGCAGGAGCACCTCTGGAGCCAGTCTGGGAGAGCTGGGGATGTTCATCTGGAGAGAAGCTCCAGGGAGAGCTCAGAGCCCCTTTCAGGCACTGAAGGGACTTCAGGAATGCTGGAGAGGGAGTGGGGACAAGGCCTGGAGGGACAGGACACAGGGAATGGCTTCCCAGTGCCAGAGGGCAGGGGTAGATGGCTGTGAGGGTGGTGAGGGCCTGCCACAGGGTGTTCAGAGAAGCTGCGGCTTTCCCTGGACCCCTGAAAATGTCCAAGTCCAAGTTAGATTTGGTTTGGATCAACCTGGGATAGTGGAAGTTGGGATTTGCTGTCAATACAAATACAAACAGAAGTTTTTTACCCATTGGCCCTGCCCAGACCCCCCAACAACCCCACCCTGTTCATCCCTGGAGCGCTGTCCAAGCTCTCCTGGAGCTCTGGCAGCCTCGGGGCCGGGACCATTCCCTGGGGAGCCTGGGCAGTGCCAGCACCTCTGGGGGAAGAACCTTTCCCTGAGATCCATCCCAAATCCCCTGACCCAGCTCCAGCCATTCCCTGGGTCCTGTCCCTGTCCCAGAGATCAGAGCTGCCCCTGGGGAGCAGCTGCAGCCCCAGTGAGCTCTGCCCTCAGCCCCCCCTGCTCCAGATGAACAGGCCAAGAGCCCTCAGCTGCTCCTCGTGTGGGCCCTCCAGACCCTTCCCCATCCTCGTGTCTCTCCTTTGGACATTTCCAACACCTTTAGATCTTTGACACAGAGAGATCCCCCCTGGGATGTCCTGTGTCACCTCCCAGCTCTGCTCCTTTGGCACCAGGATTGCAATTAGTTTTGAGATTGTTTTCTTCTTGTTTTCCCAGTTAAGCCACTTGAGGAAGGACAATCAGGGTTGCCATGGCAATGGAAGGATGACTTCTTAATTTGTGGGATTCTTTCCCTAATTATTCTGAGAATTGTAATCCCATGAAAACTGCCTCCTTTGGAGAAATTCAGTTAAGAGCTGCAGAGACACTGAAGGAGAAGTTAAAAAGAAAGGAAAGCTAATGAAGTTTTTGGGCAAAAGAACGAAAAAAAAGATTGTTGAATTTTCCTTGCTTGTTTCATGTGCCAGCAAGAGCAAATGTCTGGTGTTATCCAGAAACAAGGGCCTGGAATGGGTCCTAAACTTGAATTATTCATGAGTAATTCAGGGTGTTTTTACAGGCTTTCTGAAGAAGAAGAGTATCAGGCAGAACTAACACACGTAACTGAAAATAAAACCGTGTAAAACTTAATGGAGAACAAGTAGGATTTCAAGGGCTATTTAAATGCAGAGGCACCAGAGAAAATATAATTTTTTAGTACATTTTTTCATTCCCAAATCTTAAAACTCAAGACACAGGACAGAAACAGCACTGCTTTCATTTTGTATAGGATGAAGAGATACTGTGGCTTGCTCAGGGTGGGCAGTGAAGGACAGACATAGGAGGATGGAGCCAAAGTCCCTGGGATGTCCCAGCTGCAGATGGAGCTGAGCAGATGCCACACAAGTCACCTCTGACAGGAACACCTTGGAACCCCGATGAACACAGCCCTGGAGAGAAGGCTGGTAAATCTGTTATTGCAGAGAAGCTGGGGATGTCAGAGGGAGCAGGGCAGCCTCTGAGTGCTGAGAAACACCTCTAAAAATCCAATATTCCCTCACTGGGGCCCAGAACATCCAGGGGAGTATGAATGTGCATTAATATTTCTACAGGAGGAGGAAGGCACCTGGAACATCCTCTCTGCTGCTGGGGGAGAAATCTTCTTCCCTGAATCATTCTTTCACTGGAAAATGCTGGTTCAGCTCTCTGCCAATATGATGTTTTCATCATCATCTTTCTCTGGAGGGAAATGGGCATGGAAACGGAGCATTTAATTGTCTTTCTTTTTAACAGCTTTGCTGCCCAGAGCAGATGTGGCTGCCCCTGGATCCCTGGAAGTGCCCAGGGCCAGGTTGGACAGAGCTTGGAGCAACCTGGGATCGCGGAAGGTGTCCCTGCCCATGGCAGGGAGTGGGACTGGATGATTTTAAGGTGCCTTCCAACCCAAACCAGTCTGGGATTCTATGACCTTCCTTTAGAAGGCATTTCATGCACCCATTTGAATATTTTTGGATTTATTTCAAGGATACTTCTTTTTCTTTTCAATTGTTTCCATTGCTTTCATTTTATACCCGATTATAAATCCAAGCACAATATTCAATGTCCTGAAATCTAATAAAAATTTCAATTTTCTCTATGTATTAGAAAGCTGTTTAATTGAGCCAAAGCTATTTTGGAACTGATCAGATTTAATTTCAAGGGAAACATTCAACATTATGTTCTTGTTTAGTAGCTAAGCCCTCTCTGCTCAGGGGAGCTCGGTGTCTCCACTTTGAACTGGCAATAGAAGTTTAAGTGACAAGAGAGTCCAAAAAGACTGGGGAAAGCCTGAGAAATGGAGGGAGAGTTACAGATCACTTTAAGCAAAGTCCTTCTTCCAGGAGTCACTGCGGTTGACCTTGTGCTCTCTGACTTCCCTTCCAATTGCCTGTTGTCCTTTCTGCCTTCAAAGCCCATGGCAAAAACAGCATCCTGTGAAACTGAAATCCCAGAGGGACATTGATGGGACATTTCCCTGCTGCTCTATGCAACCACAGAATGATCTGCAGCTGGGCCAGGGAAGGATCTGGAGCAGAGCTGAGGGAGCTGGGAAGGGGCTCAGCCTGGAGCAGAGGAGGCTCAGGGGGCCCTTGTGGCTCTGCACAAGTCCCTGGCAGAAGGGGACAGCCGGGAGGGTCGGGCTCTGCTGCCAGGGAACAGGGACAGGAGGAGATGGAACAGCTTCAGGCTGAGCCAGGGGAAGTTTGGATTGGAGATTAAGGAGGATTTCTTCATGGGGAGGGTTGCCCAGCCCTGTCATGGCTGTCCAGGGCAGTGGTGGAGTCTCCATCCCCAGAGAGGTTTAAAAGCCATGTGCATGTGGCTCTTGAGGACATGGTCAGTGGTGGTCCTGACAGTGCTGGGTCAACTCAGTTGGACTCAATGGCCTCAGAGGACTTTTCCAATCTAAACAATTCTATTATTGTCAGACAAACCTCTTTGCTGGGCTGCAGCCATCATTGCCTTTTTATTTTTCCTTTTTTTTTTTATAAATCCATTTTCTCTTCAAGCCCAGAGGGGAACATCAAATAAATGAACTGGCAGAAAACACAGCGATTTCCAGGGTTAAGGAGAGGGCTCTGGCCCAGGGCAGTGGGAACCATATACTGAGCCACATGGGGGACTAAAGCACCTCATTTTCTCTGCAAAACATGCCACTGCTGTGTGTGTGAGGTCAGTCCTACCTTTCTCATTGCAAACCCTTTAACTGGGCTGTGCTTCCAGGAAGGCTCAAGTGGGGCTGTGAAAGCAGAGGGATTCACATGTCAGGACCCTTCTTCATCCCTTTTTCTTCCTCGAATAGAGAGAGCCGTTCCTCGTTGTTCCGGGGTGGGATCCCGAACACTGCAGCAAGTGCTGGAGACACAAGAGGGCAGGCACAGGCTGTGCAAAGGAGAGAGGGCTCTGCACAGCCTGTGCCTGCCCTCTTGCCAGCCAGCCTGGCCCTCTCCACTTCCCGTCATCTCTGCAAAGGTGTGAGAAAGGGGATTTTTCTCGGGGATATGTCTTCTGGCCCTGCCTGGCTCGTCTGCTTGAAGCAAATTTGAAGCAGCACGTTCTGCTAGGAACATCCAGGGGCTGAGACTGGGCTATGAGTTCCCATAGCAGCTCCTCCACCTACCAGGGATGCTGCTCATTCCTGGGACTTTCCCTAGCACAGGTGTCCTTAGCTGGGCTCTGCCACCTCAGAGAGTTTATGGGACCAGCCAGGCTGCCTTGTCCTCCCCCTCTGTGTCCCCTTGAGGGGTTGTTCACAGGGGAGGCCAGAGGGGCCATCAGCCCTTACCAGCCCTTGCATCCCATGTCCTTCACTCTTGCTGGTGTTACCCCACAGCCCATTCCCAGATGCTTCTTTCCCTGGCTCCCAGGACATTGTGGCTGTTGGCAGCTCTTGGACACAGCCTGAGCCACCAGCCCTCACCAGAACATGACAGTGCCCAGAGCATCTGTGGCTGCCCCATCCCTGGAAGTGTCCCAGGCCAGGTGGGACAGGATTGGAGCATCCTGGGATAGTGGAAGATGTTTGTGCCCATGGCAGGGGGTGGGATGAGATGATCCCTTCCTACCCAAACCATTCCATGATTCCATGATTTGTCTCCCTGGTTTGTGCCCATCCACAGGGGCAGTGGAGCAGAGCCAGTGTGGAGCTGGTGTGGAGCTGGTGCCAGGCAGCTCTGCTGGGCATGGGGCTGTTCCCTCCAGGCTACAGCTGAAGCTTCCTGCACAGTTCAACAATAAAAGGCAGCAGATGGTTTATGGTGTGAATTACAGCAAATGGGATTGCAAAGGCTGTACACATGGGGGGGGGGGAAAAATGAAAACATTAATGGAGAAGAAATGAAAGCATTAACACACCAGCCCAGGCAGTGCAGGTGTGGGGAAGGGAGAGGGATTTGCAGATGGGCTGGGAATGGGTATGAAAGGGAACTCATTCTAGCCAGGAATTTTTTAGAGGGGAAGGGTCTTGTCCCTGACTATGCAGGGGTGGTGAGCACAAGGGGAGACAGGCAGCAAGGTCTGGAGCCAGGAGCATGGGTGCTATTGCCACTCTGGTCCTCAGCTGCTTTAATTCTGGGCCATAGCTTGTTTGGGTGTGCTCAGCTCTGCCTTTTCCACTCTCCTGGAAAAGGCACCACAAAGTGCAGGAGGTTTGTGCATCTCTCCTTGTCTGAATTTCTGAGTAATGCAGAAGGAACACAGGTCTGTTTAGCCACAAGGTATTGAGAGCCTGGCTTTACTCACAGGCACAGATGCAGGAGGAGGGATCATATTTTGCATTTCAGGGCTGATGTGGATTTGTACAAGAGGAAACCAGACTCTGGAGGCAGCTCCTGCTCCCTCTGTACCTCAGCCATCCATGACAACACAGTGCTGGAGCCTTCTGGCTATGGAAGGAGGGTTCAGCTTCAGGGCAGCAATCTGGTATGCTGAAAAGTCCTCCTGGGAAATCCAGCTCAGGGCTCCCAAGTCCTTTGTCTTCTCTTTGCCTCAGACTCCATAGTGTAAAATGGAGAAAGCATCAGGGATGGTATGGGTAGCTCAGACTGAGAGACATTCCCATATGAACATCCTTGCTGGGGGATGCCAAGGCTGGGCTTGCTAAGGCCAAATGTGGAGACAGCAAAGCTGAAATGATCTTATCTCTTGGGTGAAAATTGTCAGGGGGAGGTCAGGGTGGCTCATAGCCTGGGGAGAAGAGTCTTGGGGGTCCATCAGTCAAGCACCTGAAAGATGAAGGGGTCAAATGGTGTAAATGGTCTGTTGTCATGGTAACAGCACTCAGGGTTATAGCCCAGAAACTGGGCTCATTTTATCCCATATAATCTTTAAAGGTGGCTGAGAGTCATGAGGCATTGCCCTGCAGATCATGACAATCTCTGCCTCTGCTCCCATCTCATCCCAGCTGGGAAAGTCATGTTCTGGGTGATTCCATGCTCTGGAACCCTTACCTGCTGTAGGGCTGGACGCTGTACAGAGATAGAAATCCTGGGGTATAATTCTGGATCTGGAAAAAAGCAAGCCAAATTCCTGCTGTTCATGGAGCTGATATGGAAGGGAGTTACTCTGGCCCTGCTCAGACCCAGCACCTCACACCCTGGATGGATCCCCCTCATTCTCACTCCTGCAGTCACACCACAGATGCTCTCCTGTACCAAGCAAGGCATCAGCACAGGATCTGCAGCATCTCTTGGGTAGAAAACCCAGTTTTCCTCCCTCCACCCCCTCCTCCTTCCCAGCCTCCCGGCTGAATGCACATCTGGGAGCGCCTTCCCCAAACACATCCGTCAAGGCTGCAAACAGAACATCCAGAGACTGCTGGTTTGGAGTCTTTCGAGCCTCGGGGGGCTGATCCGGACGGCTCAGGAGCTGCTGGGCACAGTCCCCCCAGCCCTGCCGAGGCACAGCCGCTTCCAGACTCAGCCCAGGCTGGAGCTGGGGGTCTCGGCTCACAGCTCCCTCTTCCTGCCCTGCCGCGGGGCTCCGGATCCACGTGTGACTCACACACTTCCAGTGCTTCTCCCTGAAGGTCCTGCAGGGAAGAAAAGCTCTGAGACAGACAGGAGAGATGGGAGATGCTACAGCTCCTCCGCTGCCGCTCCCCGAGTCTGGCCCTGACCAGCTTTTGCTCAGAGATGCCGTGGGAAGGAGAAGCGTTTTCATGCCACTGCTTTCTAATCTATTAGCGTGTGTGCGTGCATGGAGCTGAGCAGCAATCCCCTCCTTTCCTTTATTTTTCAGCCTTTCCTTTTAAATTTTAGCCTTTCCTTTTCCCTCCCCGCTCTGCTTTCCTATTTCTCCCGCTGAATTAGCTGCCCACCTTTCCCTTGCAAATCACACCGACAGCACAGGCTGGGTTTTCGGGGTGGTGTTTTCTGTCCAAAATGGAGAGCTGGGAAGGAGGAGAGATGCCTAAATCCTGCAGTCGCATCCCCGGAGCTCGGGGAGCATCTCCCAGTCGGGCTGGAGACATCCGGGAAGGAGCATCTTCGGCTTTCCGCACTAGTTAACAGCCTGCGAGCTGCCTGCACTTGTTTTAGGCTCGCTCGCTTAATCTCAGCTCCCCTCGGCGCGTGTGTGCCTGTGTGTGTGTGTGTGTGGAGGGGGAGGACTTTATTGCCATTGGCTCAGCTTTCGCTGCCCACCCACATCTCTTCCACATCACCTTGGTGTCTCCCTAAATAAAACCAGCCCTCCTTATCGCACCGAGGAAATCAAGACCGAGTTTGAATGGATTTTATATAAATATTTACCCCGACGAAGCTACTGCTGAGCTCGTGGAATAAATTCGCAGCTGCTGGTCTCACTCTGCTTCCCTCGCCCACCCCTAAAAGGGTTTAATTACTTTGGAGAGGAGAGGGGAGAGATCCAGATCCCAGTTCTGGCTCCAGACTGACCCAAAAAGCAGGACCAGGATTTAAATGAACTATGGATCTGAAGGACAGCACCAGCGAGGGCAGCATGGGCAGCCTGCAGCCTTCCAGCATCCAGATTTTTGCCAACACCACCACGCTCCATGGGATTCGTCATGTCTTCGTCTATGGGCCGGTGACCATCCGGCGCCTGCTCTGGACCTTGGCCTTTGTGGGCTCGCTGGGTCTCCTCCTGGTGGAGAGCTCGGACAGGGTGGCTTTTTACTTCTCCTACCAGCATGTGACCAAAGTGGACGAGGTGGTGGCGAACAGCCTGGTGTTTCCTGCTGTCACCATCTGTAACCTCAATGAGTTCCGCTTCTCCCGGCTCACCACCAATGACCTGTACCATGCTGGGGAGCTCCTGGCTCTGCTGGATGTCAACCTGCAGATCCCCAACCCTCAGCTGGCTGACCCCACTGTCTTAGCCATCCTCCAAGAAAAGGCCAATTTTAAGCAGTATAAACCCAAAGTTTTCAGCATGCAGGAGTTCCTGGCACGGGTTGGCCATGACCTGAAGGATATGATGCTGTACTGCAAGTTCAGAGGACAGGAGTGCAACCACAAGGACTTCAAAACTGTGAGTATGAGCAGACACTCTGCTTTTCTCTTCTCTGGGCATGTGGGCTATGGTGTTGCAGGACCACGACAGCCCTGAAGGTCACTTGCCCACTTGTGTGGGTCTGCTGTGATGAGGCAGTGGCTGCCAGGCTCTGGCATGGCAGAGGAGGAGCAGGAGGAATCCTGTTGAGCTGAAGTTTGTTTGTTGGAGTCCTAATGGGGGTTCTGTGGGGCCAGACCTGAAAGGGGCATGAGGTCCAGCCCCCATCCTGCATAAGGCCCATGGCTCCCAGTGTCAGCTTGGGGTCAGATGGGTGCTGCTGAGCATCACAGGGGCCTGAGTGTCTCTTGCCATGGCCAGTGGATGTCAGCCAGCTGAAGGAAGCAGAGAGGGCTGACAGAATCAACAAGGAGGACAGGTACTCAGGGCTGCTTTGAGCAGTGTCCAACAGTATTTCTCCAGGTGTTTGCAGCTTTGCTGGAACTGTAGAAGGGGAAATTTTCCCTCTTGTTCCTGGTGTTCATGGCTCATAAATCCTGGTTTGCTGCGGAGTGTGGGTAGCAGCTGGGTACCTGCCTGGTGCTGTGTCTTTCCTGTGCTGTGTTATATGAAAGGAGGGGAAAGAGAGGAAGAGGAAAAGCAACTGAGAGGCTGAGCTCTGATCCCGGTCTGCTCTGAGATGGGGGCAGGTGGAGTGAAGTGGGTACTCGAGCATCCTGAGGGAAGCAGCTGCTGCTGAGTTTCCAGCTTCTGGCTGGCACCCTGATGGCAATGCAAGCTGGCCTGGGTGCTGCGGTGGTAAATGTGTCAGTGTAAAATAAAAATTACTAGGAGGTTGTCTGGATGAAGTGATAGCCCTGTGTGCTGCTGGGGCAGGTGAGGAGACTGGGGCTGCAGAGGGGGCTGAGCCCCATCCTGGCCGAGCTGGGGGGGGTGCTGGGGTCTGGGCTAAGTCCCACTATGCTCTCAAGCCAAGCTGGGCAGTGCCTTGGCTCTATGATCCTTGAGTCAGAAATATTAGAGGTTTCAGGTGGTAGTTTCTCAGGAGTGCTGCTGCTTGTTCTCCTAATTACAGTGTGTCCTGTGGACAACAGGTCCTGGACAGGGTTTGTGATTGCCTGGTTCATCAGCAGAATCTTTGGTTTTGGGAGAAGGGAATATTTTCCGTCTGTGCTGCTTTGGATCTCTGAGAAAATGAATCCGACTGACTCTAGCTCCAAAGTCATTGCCATCCCCTGGACTGTGCTCTCCTTACACCTACTTCTGTGCAGGAGCATAGAATTTTATGCCTCAGTAATTACCTGTGGATAACTCCAATGCTGTGCCTATTTCAAACTGCATATCCAGTCAAACCATTCCCTTGTTTCTGCTCCCTGGGCAGGTCTGAGCAGGGGTTGGGTCACCCAGGTTGTAGAAAGGTGTCAAGCAAGTTCCAAGGAGAGAAGCTTGCTAAAGAAAAGCCATGTGTGATCAAGTCTGGAGAGTGGGATAAAAAAGGAGAAACAGATGCGAAATTCCAGGGGACAGAAGAGTCAGGGCGTGAGGTCAGATCCCAGGAGGATGGACAAACCTTCCTTGTGTGGGTAGTGGGAGGTATTCTGCCTGTGGACTTGCCAAGAGTGAAATAAGAATCAGCTAAAAGCAAAAATCTCAAAGCCAGGGAGCAGCTAGCATTTTCAAAGCACCTGCAGGGCTTAAAAAAGGACTTTAAAAAGCAGGTCCTGTTCTCAGGGAAGACAGGAGCTCTTGGCAGCCCCTCTGGGACCCAGCAGGGTGTCACCCCTGGCTATTGAGTTTTTGAGATAATTGCTTCTGAAACAATGATTTTCTATTTTTTTTTTTCCCATGGGGGATACTGTAGTTTCCAGAAAGACAAACATTCCCTGTCTGCCAGATAAATGCTCTGTTAAAACAGATCAAGGCAAGCTAGAAAGAGACAGGATACTATGGACTGACAGTGCTTGTCCTTGTCAAAGTGAGAGATTGAGTGCAATACTTCAGCCCATTCTGCAAAGCAGCTCCCACCTGAGCCAGACGACAGCATTGTCTCTCCCAGAGGCAGGGCTTCAGGCTCACTGACTCCAGGTAATCCCTCAGATTATGGAAATCCAGGAAGAAGCACTCAACAGGGACACAACAACCCTGTTTTCCTTCCAGATTTTACCTCTTGGAGATAAAAGGCAGGAAAAAGTGTCTGTTTGAAGGATGAGTAGGTGTTTCCACAGGGAGAATGCTGTAGAGGTCTGTGAGCTGCCTCCAGGCTGAATCAGAACCTGATGTCCTGGATGAATTTTGCATTGAATCACCACCAACCTGTTGCAGCTGCACACAAGCTCAGTGACAGCACATCCATCCTGCTGCAGCACCCGCTGGAGAAGAGTCATCACTGAAGCCTGATGTGTTTCCTGAAGGGAAACAGGGTGTAAATCCCAGGCCAGTTCTGCAGTATGCCAGCAGAGTAAAGAACTATGAGGTTTTAATATATACTGCCCAAATTCTGGTAGCTGGGAGCAGAGGAGGCAGGGGCTTTGCAGCAGAAGGCTGCACCAAACAGGAACTCTGCAATAAGGGTGCTGCTGAAGGAGTCAGGGCTGTGCTGCCTCTGGTCAGCTCTGCCTTCTGCTGCATGGGGGCTTTTGTGTGCTGAATAAAGTGCACAGTGCTGCTGCTGCATGAAGAGCAGGAGCTGGAATGACAGCATCTTGGCATTTGAAAACACTTTACTTTACCCTTCCTCCTCCTCCACTGCCCTGTTTAAATCCTCTGTCACTGCTTTAATAACAGGATTTGAGCTGTGTTTTCCCTACGCTTCCTGTTCCTTCTTCCCCTAATACCTCTCAGATAACATTTCCCATATTAAGGTCTGCTGACTGGAGTGAGTCCCCGCAGCTCTTCTGCAGAAATAGTCCAAAAGGAACAGGCAGGTCTTAGCCAGATGTACTGATCCTGCACTGGCATTGCCATGCACAGAACAGCAGAGAAGATAATGCAGAGCTTTGCTGTAGGCAAACCAAGTGAAGAAGAGAAAATTGTCAGACCATGCTTTAGGAAAGTATTTGGAGTATTTGGAGGAGGAAAGCCTGACAACTGCAGCCAAGGAAATCCCCTCCTTGTTTTCTGCATTGCTCCCTGCCAGGAGGTCCTGGTTGGAAATGACCTCACAGATGGCATTTTCCTGCAGGAGCTGTGCTCCTGCTGCTCAACGTGACATCAAGGTCTTCCATCCCACTGCTGCCAAGCCTGGCAAAGCTTGGGCTCATCAGCCCTCGCCACACTACTGTGATGTTCTGGGAGTCCCTGTGAGTGTGTGGCGAAAAGCCTCTTTCCTGGGGCTGCTGGTGTGGCTTGTGGTCCTTCACTGTTCCAGCCTGGGATGAGCTGGTGGTGACAGGGGACACTTGCAGGAGGATTTTGTTTGTGGCCTAGCAAATGTGGGGGGCAATGGGGAGAACACCTCTGAAAACACTTTCAGCCCATGGGGCAAACATGGAGTGAGGGATGTGATGGCCTGGGAGTGGACACTGGGAATTTGAGCAGCAGGGGAATGGGATCCCTCACTCCCCTCCTTGCTGAGAAATGCTCCCCAGCAGCACAGCTCTGCCCAGCACAGGCCAGCCGTGGCTCTGGGGGATGTTCTGGGTGTCTGGGGTGGTACCGTGTTTCGCAGTTGGGTCATTTGCTAAATGCGGTGTTGGGCTGTGCTTCCTCACACATCCAATCATTCCAGCTAGCACAAACTTTTCCCTTGTGCCTACTCTGCCTCATCAGATGTCTATTTATTGCCAGTGGCCATGACAATTGAAGGATAGAACTCATTTATTTTCAATACACATTCTTCTGACCAACAGGGTCCACATAATGAAGTGTATCTCATGTGAATATTGCTATTTTAAGACACGAGTTTCTGCCAATCTATCTGGCATTCTCTATACATATGTTTTCTGCCATTCTTTCTAGTATATCTATCAAGCCAATGTTTAGTGAACAGCTTTGGCTGTTTAGACATTCTCATCTGTTATCTGTTAATGGACTCATAACTAGTCCATTCTCATCTGTTATACAACTTCTACTTTCTTCAAGAAAAAAGTCAGGATAGTGCGTACTTGATTCAGAGAAACATTACTTCTCTATTTAACAATTTTTCTGGAGAATCACAACTTTTTCCAAAGTTTTCTCCATAACCTGAGATGCAATAATGAGATCTCCCATAATGAGATGTGCAATAATGAGATATGTGATTCAGTGGTAACTTTTACACAAACAGGCCATTCTTTCAGTAGGCAATCAGGTCACTGTGCAGCCTTCCCAGTCTGCACTGGAGTATCCCAATTTTGCAAGCACTGTTGAAGGTCTGGGTGTGAGCACAGGCACAGAGGGAGTGCAGGGTTATAATTTTGCTGCTAGTAGTGTCTCATTGGGTGTCTAAAAGGAGGTGGATTGCTCCTCACTCAGGTGTCTGGCAAACACTGCCTTTGGGAAATGCAAATCCTCATTCCACCCAGTGTTTTCCTGGATTAAATTTCTATGTCCTGTAAGGATTTATGGGTGTGGTAGTTCCCTGTTACACTGATGGGGTTTATATTTCCTTTATTTATTAAAAAATTGTAAGATAATGCTTTATATTTTGCTGGAAGTTTCATGGATGGATGCCAGTTTGGAACAATGCTCATGAAAAACCATTCCTGGGTTGGAATGGTTAGTAGAGTTAAAATCTAATGAAAGCTGTGGAGCTTTAGTGGGCCTTTTCATGGCAAACCCAGTTTTAAATCCTTTAATACTGTGTGTTGGCTTGGCACAGCCTGGTTTTTGGTAGCAGGGGGGCCACAGGAGTGGCTTCTGTGAGAAGCTGCTAGAAACTTCCACCATGTCCAGCAGAGTCAACCTCTGATGGCTCTGAATATGCTGCTGGCCCAATTAGAGAGGTTGGTAACTCCTCTGTGATGACATATTTGAGAAGAAAATCAAAACAGCACCCACCATTTTTTTCCCAGGGGTGGTGTGGCACCACCAGTGGGGCC